CCCCAAAACCCCAAAACCCCTCGCTTGTATTCAATGCTTCTAATTAAAGATTATGAAATCAAGATTAAAATAAAATTACGTGGAATTAATGCCAAAATAATTCAATGAATCAAAGTAAAGGCAACCATTTATTTAGATTAAGCTTCTAGGCAAAATTTTAAGTAATCCTTCAAATTTTTCCTATCCTGTGTGACAATTCTTTATCATACTCATCCCAATCCTCAATGCGCCTGGTAGCTACTCCGCTCTCCATTGCTGCCTTAGCTACTGCTTTAGAAACCACGTATATTAATCTAGGATCAAAAGGAGTTGGAATTATATAATCTTTTCCAAATTACATACTATCTCGACCGTATGCTTAGAGGACTTCTTTAGGAACTGGCTCTCTTGCTAACTTAGCAATAGCATCAGCAGCTGCCATTTTCATATGCTCATTAATTTAGGTTGCCCTAGTATCAAGAGTTCCTCTGAAAATAAAGGGGAAGCAAAGGACATTGTTGATCTGATTGGGATAATCAGATCTACCTGTAGCTATAATTGCATCTGATCTGGCTTCTCTCGCATCCTCTGGAGTGATTTCTGGATCTGGGTTGGCCATAGCAAAGATAATAGGATCACGAGCCATAGTCTTAACCATATCCTTAGTTAGTGCACCCTTAGCTGAGACCCCAATAAAGACATCTGCTCCATTGACTGCATCAGCAAGAGTCCTCTTCTCAGTTTCTACTGCTAAATTCTCTTTCCAATCATTCATACCATCTGTTCTTCCCTTATATATAACCCCTTTAGTATCAACCATCAAGCAGTTCTCTTTCTTAGCCCCGTAGGCTTATATTAGATTGACACAAGCAATTCCAGCAGCACCAGCTCCATTGCAAACTATCTTGATTTCCTTGATATTCTTTTTAGATGACTCCACTGCATTTATGAGTCCAGCTAGACATATGATTGCCGTGCCATGTTAATCATCATGAAACACTGGTATTTTCATCATAGATTTGAGTCTTGACTCTATCTCAAAGCAATCAGGCCCTTTGATATCCTCTAGATTGATTCCACCAAAAGAAGAGCCTAAGAATTTTACGCAATTCACGAATTCATCAATAGTGTAGGCGTCAATGCAAAGATCAATAGATTAAATACCTGCGAACTTATTGAAAAGCACTGCCTTGCCTTCCATTACTGGCTTCCCAGCAAGAGCTCCTAGATTACCCAATCCTAGCACAGCAGTACCATTCGATATTACTGCTACCATATTCCCTTTAATAGTATAGTCATAGGCTTTTGCTGGATCCTTATGGATGTCCAAGCATGGGAAAGCAACACCTGGGGAATAGGCTAAGGAAAGGTCCCTTTGATTGTTCATAGGCTTGGTTGCTTGGATTCTGAACTTTCCAGGCTGAGGAAACTTGTGATAGTCATTGGCTTCTTTATTTGTAATATTTATTTTGACTCCTGCTTGAGGTGCTGGACTAACAATATCTTCTATATTCTTTTATTCCTTTTCTATAATTGAAAATAAGGGATGTTAGAATTTACAATTATGATCAGAGCCATTTAATGTAAATCCAGCATTTTCCTTCTGAGTAATTGCTAAATGCACTTAATCAACATTAGTAGTTTATTTTCCACTTGCGCAGCCCATTATATCTAGCTCTATCACAATTACGTAATTAGGAAATAAATTTACTTTCTTAAATTTAGTTAAAAGATATAAATATCTTTACTTGTTTTAAAATAAATTATAATTCTATTTCAAACTATTGATTTTTACTTATATTACTTATCATGGGGTTTTGGGGTTTTGGGGTTTTGGGG